TAGAGGGAACATAACTCAGTGACTTGTTTTGATTACCCTTCTTAGGGAAGGAAGTTCAATAACTTAATGTTTGATTTCTCTCAGTGCTTACCGTAACTCCTTATCAGTTAGTGGTATACAAAGTTTGAAACTATGATACGCGAGTTGTTATAAATAAGAGAAAGAATACCTTAGAAAGCCACATTAGTACTCTATGCATAGAATGAAGTGTAATGAAGCAACTTGATCTATCTATTTTTTAGATGTCATGTTCAAACTACAAATAATGTGAAATGGCTGAATCTGTAATTTTAAGGTCCTAAAAAAAATGTAATAGAACCTCTACTAACCTTGACACAGATGAGGACATTGGTGACGAATTTATGAACTCCTGGAAATCAATATCAGTGGCAGAGGATGACATGGTGGACTTTAGTTTTGGTACGGTCTCCAAAGGCAAGAATAAGGCCTTTGATTTTGGAACTTTGTAAGTATTGGCAATTATTTGAGCCACTATTAGAAAATTGGGTCTTTTTAATATATTTCCTCCTATCATCTTTCAACCCTCATCAGTCTCAGTTATGGATATTTGTGTTCATTTCATGTTCGTGCATTACAACATCAAGTGGAGTGGGATCTCAAACACCATGTTAGAAAATAATCAATGGAGGCTTCATGTTACTGAAAAATATTATTTCTTTTCTTTCAGGGATGTTGATTTCAATCTGGATGGAAGTTTTGAAAAGTTATCATCGTTCAAGATTGACATGCCAGATCTTGACTTTTCATCCCCGCCCAAAAAGAACGAAAAGGCTAGGAGTAGTGGTAAAGAAGGATCACCCAAAGAAAATCTTCAAAGGGATATGGACAGCTTAAATTTCTCTTTTGATTTTAAAGAGTAAGTGGAGAAGGCAATTAGGGAAACGCTTGGACCTTATTTCTTAAGAATCATGTTTTAATTTTTAGATAACCATGACCTTGAACCTTAACTTACAACTTCTCATTATTACTTCTGTCTGGAATAAGACTGGACAGCTTTGATGTTGATAAAAGCTTACAAAATGGAGAAAGGACTTGTAAACAACAGCAAGATACCGAGGCAGTTTCTTCTTCTAGAGTCGAGCATGAAGCTTTTAATATCCATATAGGTGAAGAAAATACTGCAACTGATAATACTAGTATAGCCAAGAGACTTCCAGCATCAGGAAACGAGACCAGTTCTAGAGTTGAGAATTTTCATGGAGATCATGGTGAGCTAGAGTCAGAAGTTGCTGATGGTACATCACATGAAGCAAGAAATACAGCACCAGCTACAAATGAAAAAGGTTGTTTACCTGAAAAAGAATTGTCAAAGGGTAGTCATCAAGTCATTCATGATGTTCCTGTCAGGTGTATTGCCAGAAATTATGCACCTGAATGTACTTCGGAACCACAGTCTGAAATTTGTGCGGAAAAAGGAGAACTAACAGTAGTTTCAGGTGGAACTGGAAAAGTTACTGATGAAATTATAGATTCTGATGGAGCTTGCTGTAAAAAGTTGCCTCATAGCTATTTGTCTTCGATAAATCTCTCTGCATCGGAGAGAAATCCAACAGAAAAAAATAAGTCGGAATACAGTCATCTGAATGAAGTTGTTGACAATGTTCAACTGGCTGAAGTTCATTTAGTCCTCAAAGATTGTTCCAATTCAGATGCCCCGAGGAAGCTTCTGCTTGACACGCAGGAAATCAGAGAAAACCACAATTCGAAATTGAAACCGTCTATAGTTCCTTTATGCAGGTCAGATATTATGCTTTATCGTATTATAGTAATAGATGAACAAAATATTTTAATACAAAACTTCACTAAGTTATATTAGTTCTGATCGTCTGAATTCGAATGTGAGGGTCGTTGAAGAGAAATGCACAGCTGGAAATTATTTACCTCATGTATTTACACAAACTCATTTTAAATGAGTTACTCTGCTAGAGATGCTGTGCAATTATGAATAGTACATCCGTTATTTGAGCTTTTAAAGAAATTCATGATGTTATCTCATAGCATTTGTTTTTCCGAATTTCCTGATGCAGAGGACTACCGGTAAATGAAGTGACAGTGAAAGAAAAAGAAGTGAGTGGGAATTACTCAATTTCAAAAACAGACGTTGTTAGGAAATCTCAACTATATCAAGCATCATTTATCAGTACGAAACTTTTCACTTTAGGGAAGAATAGAATTGATGCTCCAAATCAAATTCCTGCAGCTGGAGACAGGTACGCTGTTTTCTAATAACCAATGCCTCTTGTTTATCAAAATGTACTATATATTACAATCGCACTATTGGAGCTTTGAGACCAGTTGGTCGACTTTATGATATGATATTTGATGGTAGACTAATAACAAACACGATAATTGTAGCACATGGCCATGGAAAGACTTCTAGCAGCCTCGGTAATGTGAAGCAAGGCTTCTTAACATAAACTTTTCAGTTTGAGCCACTACAGCTTTGCATCGGCTTTGTTAGATGTCCTTGTACTATAAAATTCTGGAATTCATAGTTCACAACAGTTGAAAATTGCACTTTCTCCATGATCATATGGCCATGGCCATTCAATAAGATAATATTTGGCTACGATGTTTTTGTTCTGATTATATACAAATCGCAGGAATCGTTGCAGAGACTCTCGACCACAAAATAAATTAGCAAACACAGCTCCGCCAGTTGTAGTACAAAGTGAAAAGAGCGTAGGAAAGCTTCGAGCTTCAAGGTGACGTATATTATTGGTTTTCCCATTTTATGTTTGGACTAAGCCTTAAACTTCATTTTGAGATGGAATCGTCTATTCCTAGCAAGCGTATGCAGAATAGTATATATATATATATATATATATATATATATATATTTTTTTTTTTTTTTTTTTTTTTTTTTTTTTTTT